CCTAAAATGTTTTAAAATATTCTTAGTCAGCCAAGATCCTTTCACTTGATTAGTGGAGTTGAGCCAGTCCTACAGTAATAATAATGAAATAATGCTTTGTTTACAGAAATGAACACACACTTACACAGTAAGGTCTAAATCATTACCACAAAGAATACAAATGCAAGGATGAATAACAAGAGACTGACTGGCAGTTGTGGGAGGATGCCTGCTCCCACTGCCAAAAAATGAGTGTAGAGAATTAACATGAGTCCATGTTTACTTAATGTATTTGTGTTTGTATGAGCTGGTCTATGGGAATTTCCACCTTTCACCTACAGGGTCTAAACATCCTTACAATGACTTTTGGCCAAGTCTGTCACATTTGGCTGTCATATTTAGCTGCAGTCCATATCAATACAGACTTAATTCCACTTTGAAGTTTTGAGCTGGATTCTTAACGATATTATGGCATTATACTTGTCACTGTAGGCCAGGGAGTTTTGATGAAAGATGTCTTTATTTAGGCCTCATTGAACTGAATTGCATTGTATGAATTTTTGAGGTCAATGGGTTTATGCATTTTTTTAATGAAGCAGAGTAAATTGTCTTCCCATAGTTATGTGGCATTTCATATTGGATTTCCACTGCTGACGAAGAAATTAAATGAAAAATAGAGATGAAGACAGACTTAATGAAGGGAGGGAGAGAGGGAGGTTGTTCAAATTCAGTCTAGCAAACATTGCAAAATAATGTTTTAACAATTTGTCTAGAAAAAAAATCAGGTCAGCTGTTTTTCCCGCAGCAGCACCGTGCTTTAAATTCAGACGTTCATACTGGGAGCTGTCCAGTATGATCGCTGTGTTCAACTGGTGCCACAAAGAACTGCACAGACTCAACCTGGTAATGACACAGCTAAAGACAGAAGGGTTATTTATCAGAGATTATGTGGTCGTTGGAAGATTAATACCCTCGGGGGACGAAAGACTTGGGCTGACTTTCATCTTAGACCTGCCCCGACAGAGAGAGAGGGTTAGAGAGACAGAGAGAGTGTAGAAAGAGGTAGAACAGAGTGTCAGGAGACACTGAGAGTCTTCAAACACAGTGGTGTGTGTGTGTGTGTATGTGCATCACTTTAACCCCATAATGAGTAGCCTTGAGGGGGTCCACAGCCATTTGGCAGTTCTTCGTTTCCTGATTTAAAAAAAGTGCTATCTACCCTTTTATCTCTTAGCAGCGACACACAACCCCATACACACATGCACACGTGCACACATGCACACATGCACATACACACACACACACGCACACACACACACACACACACATACACACATACCGGTTGTGGTCTTACCACAAGATCTTGTGCAATTAAGCCTATTCTGCCCTCAGAAGCCAACTCTGTGTGTATTTATAGGCCATATATCTATGTGTTAATGTGTGTGTGCGTGTGTGTGTAAGCTGTAATTAAGCAAGATCAAACCCTCGAGGTTGAGGAATTAGCCATCATTGAAGATCAGAAGGTTTTTCATTCAAGTCTGCGACATGGAAGAGTGAAATCAGAGGTTTTGGAGCCAGACAGACAGATTTTGACCTGAGATAGCAGATAATGGCGTCTTCTTCCTCTCTCTCTTTCTCTCACTCTCTGACTCTCTCAAACACACACACACAAACACACTTTGATGCTTCCGACAGCTTCAGGTGGATTTTAAGTTCAGCTGTTAATGTGTTGAATTGAACTGTTGTGACCTTAGGGCACATCAATCAATAACATGCTATTATGCAGAAAACTACAGTGTCAGTGCATTTGTTTTCTGGTCTGCCACCCCTGAGGTTAAGGCAGTGTTTTTTTTTCTGGGATGCTCCCCTGGCTTGCTCCTTCCAAAAACAAAGTTCACATTCTCTCACCCCTCAATTTTTATCAATCATCAACAATGATAGGGGAAGCAACTAATAAAAAAGGGCCCATGTTTAATTTTAGTGAAATAAAACAGCATATATCTATAAAGTATATTTCCTTGCATACAGTATTGCATTATATTGCAATATATTGAATCGCGACCACTAGCCCTAGGCTTTATACCAGCCCAGAACCACTAAGGTATGGTCAGGTTTAGGCAACTAAAACTTGGTAAAGGTTAGTGATTTATTTCCTTCATACTTTTTGTTGTGCTGTAAGAACATCACACTAGTTACAATACAAAACAACCATATGAACTGAGTGACTAGTAGGATATGTATATCAAGTCACATATGCAATGTTCTTTATTATAAATGAAGGTTACAGGTAACAGGATTGGACATTCATCCCCTGAGAAATCTCCTGACTGAATTGTTATTTTATTTTAATGTACATCATTGAAAAAAAAAAAAAAAAACTTAACTGGAAATTTTATATCCGAATAAAACTGAGACAACTGTAGCATTAAACCAAAAATGCTCCATGGTTCCATATGTATAATCCCAGTAAAAGGTTTGTCTGTGTATATATTTAACTCCTCACGCTGTTTGTGTGACTGGATTTGATGCAGATGTGTTAGCAGTGGGGTTTAGGGTCTCACAGGGTCCCCTGTCAAACGAGGAAATCAGACATTCATCTTCCATGGCCAAGAAAAGTATCTATATACACATCTGTACTTTACCTGCATCTTTCTTTTACATCTAGTAATTAACACTCAAAGGGACTCCATGAGAAATGTACTTAATAACAGTAATTAAAGGTGCGTTTGTGTATATCCATTTTGTGTCAGAGAGCGCTTGCTTTCACTCCATCAAGGTTAGTGTTTGGGCTTGTCGTCTTTACTAATCCAGTGTACATAAATATGATTTAAAATCTTATTTAGCTGTGAAAATAAATGTTGCTTTGGTAGACAGGAATGTTCGTAAGATTTATGTTTTTGAGGCGGCTGATAGTATCCAATTCTCATTTTCATGTATTATATTCATCTTTACAAAACTGCTGGAACAGTGACTTATATTTGATCTTAATGGCCAGAAAAATAATTTATCCACTCGCTGAGTTGATCAAAGCACAGTGCATTTTCATTCCCTAAGCCTTATTGACACTGATATGGTGGAGTTTGTTAGTTCAAAATATTAAATGAAACCTTGTAATTACTTGTAGATTAGAAGCAAATTATAAATGATAATTGGAGAGAGTCATTTAACACCCAGCAGCTCCACATTATTTGTGGAAGCCTACATGCTTCAGGAAGCTGACAGAAGCAGCATTCAGTCAGCATGCTCTTATCTGTACTGCCACCCTGTCAAAAGACCACACACACACACACA